AAACCAAGAAACACCTTCTTCAGAAGGATCAGCTCAGTTTGCTGCTCAGATATTTGGATTACACAATCATTTGGAATGGACCAAATTGAGAGCAAGCACATTAAATATATGCATTTCTATGAAGTAGGCTGACAAAAAAAAATCAGAGACTCCAGTTCATAGGAGCTTTGTGGAGGAAAACTGCAAGTTCTTAGTATACCAGTAGAAGAAAAATGTAAGATGAAAAGACTCTAATTTAAATAAAATTTTAAAAAATTAATTTAATAAATGAGGTTTAAAAATAAATACAACAATAACAACGAACCACTTCTGCCGAGTTAGTTCTGACTGATGGTAACTCTCCAGGTGGTTTTCAAAGCTGTAAATCTCTAGAGGATTTAGAGCCTCAGAGTGGCTGGTGGATTTGAACTGTCAACCTTTCAGTCAGCTTTCCAACATGCAACCCTCTACACCACACAGGCTCCATAGCCCTATCATAATAACTTTACAACAGAAAAGAAATTAAGATTTCATGCAGGAAAAAATTTTCCTCAGGTTAGAAAGCTAAAAGCAAAGTAAAAAAAAAACAACAAAAAAACAAACAACTAAACATGATCAATATACTAGCAGGAGTAGCATTCATTTCCTAAACAACATGCCTCTGGGAACTCTGTGAACATTGATAAATGTTGATAGTTGTAGAGGGGCTTCAGGCCTTTTGTTCATAGGGTCTCTATGAGTCGTGCTCGACTCGAAGGCAATCAACACAACAATAACACTGGAGTATTAATCTAACACTATAGTATATTTACTATAACTGGTCCTTAACATTAACAATAGTGGTAAGATTTGATATATATCTCACAATCATCATAAAAGTATGTCATCTTCCTCTCACTGAGGTAAAAAAAAAGAGACATGAAAATGTGTTCCTTTTAAAAGCTCATTGCCACCAAATCAATTACAATTCTTGACAACCTTCCATTAGGTATACAGTGCTATGAATACTTATGGGAAGACATAGCGCTTCTTTGTCCCACTGAGCGACTAGTGGATTCAAACTGGTGACCTTTTAGTTAGTAACTCAAGACATAACCAACTATGTTTCCAGGGCTCTTTGAGACACAGGAGAATGAGTCATTTTGTTCATAATCAGAGAGATACTGAGTTAGAAAGAAACTTGTTCAATTTCTAGAAATTTCAAGGTTTAAAAAAAATCTAAACAAATCTGTTGGAGGAATGGCTGAGGTAAATACATAAGTCACTACTTTAGGAACACACACATACCTTACACAGGTATTATTTATTATTGTTACTGTTATTTGCCATTGAATAGTCTTCTACTCATAGCAACCCTATGCTGTTGACAGCTGTGAAACCTACCCTATCAAGAGCCAGTGTCACTGTCTCTAACACACTCAATCCCATTGCCTCAGTTATCATATCAATCTGTCTAACCCAGGGCCTTCCTCTCCTGCACTGTCCCTCCACCCTTCCAAGCATAATGTCTCTCTCCAAGTACCAATCCCTCCTGGCCACATGCCCAAAGGATGTGAGGCAGAGCTTCAAAATCCTTGCCTCCAAGAAGAAACTTGGTTTCACCCTCTCCAAGACAGACCTATTTGTTCTCCTGGTAGTCCATGATATGTTTAATACCCTTCTCCAGCACCAGTTATCAAAGGCATTGATTCTTCTTCTGTTATCCTTAGTTACTGCCAAGCTCTCTGATGCATAGCATGTAATTGTGAAGACCATGGCCTGGAATAGGCTCACCTTAATACGAGACAGACATCATCACTCTTTAACACTTTGGAGAAGTGGCAGACTTTGCCAATGCAATTTGTCTTTTGATTTCCTGACTGTACCAAAAGTGTTGATTGTGGAGCTGAGCAAGCCGAAATTATTAACAACCTCAATCTCTTCTCTATCCATCTGATGAGCATCCAGTGGTGAGTATTTTGTCTTCTTGATGTTGAGCTTCAATCCATACTGAAGACTGCAGTCCTTGGCCTTCTACAGCAAATACTTCAGGTCCTCCTCACCTTCAGTTGTACCATCTGTATAATTCAGATTTTGATGAGTCTGCCTCCAATCCAGATGCCACATTCCTCCTCATAGAGCCCAGGCTCCAGGATGATCTGTACTGTATACAGATTGAAAAGGTAAGGAGTCAGACGCATCCCTGATGCACTCGCTTGCTAATTTTGAACCATGCAATTTTTCCTTGCTTTGTTCTGACAACTGCCTCATTGTCCATTTATCTAGGATTGTTCAAAAGGTATATTCCAGTCTCACAGAAGCTAGTCTCACAGTTTTTGCCACCTTACAAAGATGAAAGTAACCATGGGGGAAAATGTCATTGATACCACAGCTAAATCAAAGACAGCTCTTGTATAATTAGGATTTCTTCTCTTCCAGGATAAGATGCAAGCTGAGAAAGGACTGGTTTTCAGAAAAAAAGCTGGACAACAGACCAAGTTGGGCACATACTCTGCCATGTGCAACTGCTTTCTTATTTCACTTTTTGGGCTCTCTCTTTCAGAGGTGTCCACATCTCTCATCCCTGCATAAGCACCTCTAAGAATCAAACACTTACTCTGGCTTTACCTGCAACTCTACTTTTGGTTATGCTTCATTTTGACTTGATAAGCTTCCAAGAACAGGCTCCTTCCTGTTGTATTGGGAATTTACAGCATGCAAGGAGCACATGTGAGAGGACAGTAGGCTAAGGTCCCATGGCAGAGAGCCTCTGAAGAGGATCTCAGGTCCCATTCGCACCCAAACACATGAAGAGGGTCTCAGTTCTACCTCAGCTGCCAGTGCTGTCCAAATATCCACTCTGAAGAAACCCTTCTTCTTCAAAACACATAGCATAATGCTGCTCTCATCCACTCTGGTCCACAGAGCACTGCAGGTCCGTATAGCTGCACTGGTCCACACCGCTGCACTGGTCTGCACAACTCTGACCCACACAGCTGTAGCAGCATTAAGTGTCTGCTATTAAAATTATTCTCACTTCCTAACAAAATCATTCTCCTGATCTTATATGTGAAATCAACTAGACTTTCAATAAAAGATGATTATTTTTATAGGATCATTTAAGAATGATCTTCAATGAATGGAACTTTCTAAAGATTACATCTCTGTGCTCATTAAAAACTTTTTCCAATAAGGTGAAAATAAAATCTACTGACTGAGTACAAATATTTGGCAAAATCATCTCAGACAAGGGTCTCCTAACAAAAGTTTACAGAATAGTACAGAGCTTCCAGAAGAAAAACGTTGATACAAAATGGGTAAAAGACATGGAAAGACTTTTCACAGTGAAAAAACATTCAGATGGCCAACAGACACATGAAGAAATGCTCAAAATCACTGGTAATAAAAGAGATGCAAATTAAAACCGCAATGAGATACCATCTCACCCAGTAGCAGTGGCACAGTTGAGTAGGACAGCAAGCAATAAACGTTGGAAGGATGTGGAGAGATAGGAACTCTCATATACTGTTGGTGGGATTGCAAAATGGTACAACCACTCTGGAAGGCAGTTTAGCATTTCCTCAAAAAGTTGAACATAGAAATGCCATATGACCCAGCTATTCCACTACTAGGAATATACACCAAGGAAATTAGAACAGAAACACAAATGGAGATTTGTATACCAATGTTCATAGTCATGTTATTCATCACTGCAAGAGCATAACAACAGCCTGCATGTCCAACCACAGCTGAATAGATTGAGAAGTTGTGATACATTCACACAATGCAATACTATGCAGCACTCAGGAGTTAACAATTTCAAAAAATACCACATAACTTGGGAAAGGCTGGCAAGCTTTATGCTGACTGAACTAACTCAGTCTCATAAGAGCAAATACTACCTAAGACCATTATTGCAAAAATATAGGTATAACTAGTAAAATATGTATGGGAGCTGAAGGGGTGGCAACAGAGGGGTAAGGATGGATAGAGGTGAAACCACAAGGCTGCAAAATTTGGACAGTGTATGGAGTAGGTGAAGGAAATGGGAAGGATCTAGCAGGGACCTGAAAAGACAAGGTAAGGATGGGCAAGCTCCAAAGAGGATTGATTAGCAGGGACCTGAAAAGACAAGGTAAGGACGGGCAAGGTCCAAAGAGGATTGATTTTATATAACATAATGCATGAGAATGATTGTATGAAACACAATATGAATGAAGAATAATGTGAAACACACTGTATATGAACTTTGTAAGCAAATTAATATAAAATAAAAAAAGAAAAAATGTTATTCACAATCAATAACTCATGGACTGTATAGTGTATTATGCAAAAAAGAGAATGATCTTAAAGAATATCATATGCAGTTACTTTTAATTTAAGAGTAATTAATCCATATACACTAGCCTATTCAATAACTTATCTAGAATAGATTGAAGAATAATTTGAAAGATGTAAATGTAGGACACCATGAAATCTTGATCTACAATGTCTTATTGGTTATGAAATGGTGTCTAAAGAGAAAAGGTCTTTTTAGGCCCTAGCTTCTGTATTTGTGAATGTGGCTCCATTTGGAAATGAGTTCTTTCTCTGAAGGTTTTATCAGTGAACAGGTGATATAGAAACACAGTGAATGAGAATCCCTTCTGAATGCTGGTTCACAAAAACAGAAAATAGACATGGTGATAGAGACACATGTGGAAAAAGAAGTCTTATGTCTACAAGACACACATGGGGCTATCAGAGGCTGAAAGAGAAAAGACAGGATCCTCCTTTGAGCAGTCAGAGAAAGCAAGCCTTGAATTCATACCCCTGGCCAGCAGTTCTGTGAGATCATAAATTTCCAGTCTTTAAGGCCATCCACACTGTGGCATTTCATTTGACAGTATTGTGAAGCTAAAAATGATTACTGACAGTTCTTTTCTCACCTTTTCAGGCTTCAAAAGTTAGAACTCTTGCTTTCAATTGTTAGCTCAAGGTCCTTTCTTCACAAAAAGCAAGGGAGAAAAAGGCTCAGCAGGAAGAGATGTATGTCACCTTACCTCCCTCACAAGCAGCATTGCCATTTGAGACACTGTCATGTGGCCAAGGAGAAGCCACCCCAACCTCTTCTGCCCCCATTCCATCCAGAAGTTCCACTCGAAGTCTGTCGGGTCCTAAAAGGGACAAAACAGAAGTTTAACTGGGGTATTTTCATACATTCTGAGTTTAACAATGAATGAATGGAATTCCAAAATCTCTGTAGATGTTCATTGAAATGAAAAATAAAAAAATAAAAAAAGCCATCCGGGGGGCAAAAAAGGTCAATATAATCCCAAAATCTATAAACAGCATTTACACACTTCAAACTTTATTCTCACCTACCTCCAATTTGGCTAATCTCATTGTCATTCCCCAGATGCAAATTTTATGTTCTAAGTCTTAATGTCTTAGTTAAAGCTTAACCCTCATGGTCCCCTATGTGCTTGGAAGCCTATCAAAGTAAAAAACAAACAAACAAACAAAAAGCACTCCCTTTTTTCAATAAAAGATGAAACTGAGGCTTAATGGACTAAACTAATTTGCCCAAGGTCACTCCAAAAGATACTAAAAGAAATCAATTATGGGAATCCCAAATAATATCACTAGATAATTTCACTAATGAGAGAAATAGAAAATAGACACTAATAAAATGTCTTACACTTATTCATGATAAATCTTTCTGTCTTTTATAGGCAGTGGAATAATATAATAGAGAAATTACAAGAGTAGCATCTACTTCCTAAACAATATGCCTCTGGAAACTCTATGAACTTCAGACCTTTTGTTCATAAGATCGCTATGAGCCATGCTCGACTCGACGGCAATCAACAAGTACAACAGTAGTTGATGCCTTGAGCTATGGTGTTGAAGAAGAGTACTGAATAACCGATGGACTGCCAAAAGAAATGTCTTGGAGAAAGTACAGTCAGAGTGCTCCTTGGAGGCGAAGATGACAAAACTTCATCTTACATATTTTGAGTATGTTGCTAGAAGAAGCTAGTCTTTGGAGAGGGACATCATGTTTGGAAAGGTGGAGAGTCAGTGAAAGAGAGGAAGACCCTCAATCAGATGGACTGACAGAGTAACTACAGTAATGTGCTCTAATATGTCAGAGATGATGGGGATAGAACAGCAGGGTCAGATCTCTTGTTCACAGGGTCTTTATGAGTCATACTTAACTTTATGGCACCTAGGAATAACAAGTGATAAGAAGTTCCGCTGACTCAATAGTACGTAGTTCAAATCCACTAGCTGTTCTATGGGAGAAAGATGAGCAATCGCCTCTTGTGCAATTTATCGCCTCTGAAAACCTGACTCAACAGTATATAACAATAATAATAACAATATCTGTAAATGTATGATTAAACAAGGAAAAGTCTACTTCTCTTGGCTTATAGAAGCTCCATGTTCACATATCATGCTGGGTCTAGGTCTTTGTCAAATTATGCCCATGCAGTTCCCTAGCTGCATGTCAACAGTTGTAGAAGGGTTTCAGGCCTTTTGTTCATAAGATCGCTATGAGCCATGCTCGACTCGATGGCAATCAACAACTACAACAGTAGTTGATGCCTTGAGCTATGGTTGATATGGATGATAGGATAAAGATCATGTGAGAAGAATGCATGTGTGGAGCCCTGAGGAATAACACCTAAAAGCCATAAATGATCTCAGGAGTCCCATAGAACATCATCCTGGTAAAGGTGGGCCTGAAGGAATTAAACACAGTGACTGGTCAACCAGCAATAGGTAATGCAAACCTTGCTAATGACCATCTTGCACCACCCCAGTGGAGTAAGGATTCTAATTCAAAACAGTTATGTCATCAAGTCAGAGCGAAATCATAGCTGACCCTCCAGCAGGTTTTAGGAGATGTAAATCACACAAGAAACAGACTGCCCAACTTTTGAACATGCTGTCTCTCTCCAAGGACGGGGGCCTCCTGAAAATAAGCCCAAAGAAAGTGAGATGGAGTTTCACTGGCCTCTAAGAAAGACTCTGGTTGTACTTCTTTTAAGACAGATTGGTTTGTTCTTTTAGCAAATATTCAATACTCATCAACATCACAACTCAACGGCTTCCATTCTTCTGTCATCCTCATCATTTATTATCCAATTTTCAGATGCATAGAAAGCAACTGAAAAGATTATAGCTTGGATCAGACACATCTTAGTTTTAAACTGACAGTCTTGCCCTTTATAAATTTGAAGAGGCCTTTGACAGAAGATTTCTGCAAGGCAACACACCTTTTGATTCGTTGTCTGTTGCTACCATGGGTGTTGGTTGTGGATCCATATAAAATTAAATCATCAATCGTTTCAATCTAAAAAATTCAGTACAATGGATTAAGTACTGAGTAGCTAATAGAAAATGTCATGGCTCCAATCCACCAGCCACTCTTTGGGGAAAGATAACAGCCTTAGAAACAATAAGTGGAAGGTCCACTCTGTTCTAGAAGGCTTCCATGAGTATCTGTCAACAGCACTGCATTGGGCTTCCTTTTGTAAGAAATGTTGCTTGCATGTAGTTGTTAATCTCAAGTGTTTCCTATCCTTTTCAAAACACCAATCAAAATTGTATAGAGCTTTAATTTTGCCACTTGTTTTTTTAAAGAAAGATTTTCTTTTTCCATTTTCTCAAAGCAAAGAAAAATAATGCTGTGCCTTCTCAAATCACACATGCTTCCAAGATCCTGGATATAACCTGCTCATAGAGCCTTACTTCTTACAATTAAAAGGAACATCATGCAGAACAGTCCATAGCTTCCCAGGCAGGCAGTAGAGGAACAGAGACTCCCACTGTTAACCTGACTCAGATTCCTGATCAAGACTTCATTTCAAAATTCCAAGTTAGTAGAGAGTCAATTAATTGAATAAGCTTAACAACTTCAAAGGTCACATGATGAGATAAGGCTGGAGAAATTCCACTTTAGCAGAGATATGCTGAAAATACACAAAAATCCAAGACTGATTTTTGTTAAGTATAATATAAAAAAAACCTCAATATTTTTACTTCAATATAAATGTTTTTTAATACTAAGAATTATGTTTATGCTCATAACTCCAAGTTCCCCTTGCCTTTTCCAAGTTTAATTTCTCAGAGGGAAAAAAAACCAAACCCTCAGTATCTTTTAATAGAAAGGGAAAAAAAAAAACCAAGCCAAAAAACTCTATATTCCACCTGAAAGCCCAAGACAAGTGAAAATCCTGTGCTGTTAAAATGCCAAGTAAAGAAGATTCAAACATAGTCAGGCATCGTTAATTCTTTCAGAAGATATTTATCTAATGGAATAAAAACTTTCTCTGCTGTCTATCCTTCACCATTTAAAATATTTACCCGAAGGAAATGACCGGACAGAAAAGCTGAGCCAATGGACATAACAAGATGGCTACAATGAGCAGTTTATGATGTGGAAAAGAAAAACCTGGGCTCACTTGCTTCTGTAAGCAAAGCTTTATAGACTCGGAAGTCAATGAATAGTTCAAGGCAAACTTTAAAGCTTCCAATCAAGGATAATTCTTCCACATTCTTGTCTGGGATGTTTAATTTTAAGTGTCAACTTTGCAAGGCCACAGTCCCCAGCTGGTTGGTCAAATATTCAGCTAGATACTGCATTTAAGGTACTTTGTACATGTGATTAATGTTAGGCATCAATCAGTTACATTCAGTGGAGTGCCCTTGATAATGTGGGTGGGCTTCATTCAGTCAGTTGAAGACCTTAAGAGCAAAAACTCAGGCTTACCAAGAAGAAATTCTCTGTATTAGCACTGTAACATGGGAATCCTGCCTGAGTTTCCAGTCTTGTGGCCAACCCACTGCTCTTGGACTCAGGATAAATCATCGTTTGCCTAAATTTCCACTCTACTGGCCTGTTCTCCATATTTCAAACTTCAAAGCCCCCACAATCACATAAGCCAAGTCTTTGAAACAAAGCTCTCTTATCCCTCTTCCCCTCTATATTTGTGTGAGTACACAAGCATATGTATATTGCTAGTTGCCTTCAAGTTGCTTCTGACTTACAGTTAGTGAACTTAAGTATAATAGAACTTAGAACAAAGCTCTGCCTGGTGCCATCTATTATCAACTTATCAACTAAGGAATACTATTTAGGTTTTTCTCAAGAGAACCTTGGCTAATGCATGTTTATTTCTCCAGTTCCTTTCTTAACTCTACAGGTTTTGGTCAATTAGATATATCTTTTTCAGTACCATAAGAGGTGAGATACAAACCAGCAATAAATCCTTGTCAGATGAAACAAGACAGAAAGAGTTTACTCTATGGAAAAGGAAGAGGCTGCACTCCAAAACAGTAACTATCTTAGTACTCTAGTGGTCCTGTAACAGAAATACCACAGTGAGTAACTGAAAAATACCAGAAATGTCTCACCACAATTCAAGAGCCTGAACATCCAAATTCAGAGCACTGGCTTTTGTCTACTCTGGATGGAAATTCTCGTCTCAGCTTCTCGAGCATTCTTTGTGGAGACTTCTACACAACATCTATCTTTGCCCCATCTGTCTCTAAGGATCACCCTGGCTGCACCTTTTCCAAAATATATTTGTCCTTTTGGCCATCGATGGGATCTCGAGCACTCTTCTCCAACACCACAGCTCAAAGGTATCAATTCTTCCATCATCCTTATTCCTTATTCACTGTCCAGCTCTCAGCAAATAGCTGAAAAGCTCATGAACTAAATCATGTGCACCTTAGTCCTCAAAGTGATATCACTGCTCCTCAATAATTTGAAAAGGTCCTTGACTGCAGACTTTCCCAATGCAATACATCTCCTGATCTCCTGACAGCTGGTACCAAGTATATTGGTTGTGAATCCAAGGAAGATGAAGTTGATAGTTTCAATCTTTTCTCCATCTATCATGATGCCGCCTATTGGACAGTAAGAATTTTTGTTTTCTTGACATTGAGATGCCATCTATATTGAAGGCTGCAGTGTTTGATCTTCTGCCACAACCACTTCAAGTTCTCCTCTCTTTCAGCAAGCAAAGTTGTGTCATCCACAAAATGAAGGCCAATTGTCATCCACAAAATGCTGCCATTTGTACAGAGTCCAGCTTCTCAAATAACTTGCTCCGTATACAGACTGAATAGGTATGGACAAAGGATAAAACCCTGACACACA